CTGCGACCCACCCGCGACCCACCCCGCGGCCCACCCTCAAGGGAGGAAAAACCACCTGGACCCGATCATTGACGTTTACTACACGGCCCTGGGCGTTTACTAAACAGCCCTGCCCTGCTCGATTCATTCCTGGTCCGCGTTTACTAAACGGCTTCACGTGTCGGAATTGTCATTCTGGGGTGGGATTTCTGCCCTCTACACCCGCGACCCACCCGCGACCGACACACATTGGTTTAACGAAAGAATCGGCGCATGCGGCGGCCTACATGTATAATTTCTGAAACTTTGGCGCCTGCGGCGGGCTTCTCCAGAGTCTCGCAAATTGCCCACGTCCCCACCGCCGCCTCACTCTTATCCGCACCTGCGGGGTGTATTCATGCATGTCTGTCAGAGTGAGGGGGGCGAACGGTCATTCATTCATTGTTCCTGGGTGCGTGGCTGAAGTGTGGATTCGCGGTGAAGATTATGCTTATTGTTGTTGTTGTTGTCGTCGTCCCCCCCGCGATCCTCTCTGCGGCCCACCCGCGACCCACCTCGCGACACACCCGCGACCCACCCCGCGACCCGACCGCGACCCACCCGCGACCCACCCCGCGACACGCTCGCGACCCACCCGCGACCCACCCGCGACACACCTGTGACCCACCCTCGACCCACCCGCGACCGGGCCCGCGACCCACCCGCGACCCACCGTCGACCCACCCGTGACCCACCTGCGACCCAACCCTCGACCCACCTAAATTGTTTTAGCAAAAAATCGGCGCCTGCGGCGGGCTCGCTGTGCAGCTTGAAAAAATGCGCCTGCGGCTGGCTTTTTCAAGGCCTCGCAGACTGTCGACGTCCCCGCCGCCCCCCATCACTATTATCCGCAACTGCAATGTATGTATGTATGTGTATGTATGTATGTGCGTATGTATGCCTGTCTGTCTGTCTGTATGTCTGTATGTATGTATGTGTGTATGTATGTACGTATGTACGTATGTACGTATGTACGTATGTACGTATGTACGTATGTACGTTTGTACGTGTGTACGTGTGTACGTATGTATGGATGTGTGCATGTTATATATATATATATACACGCATGTTATGTATTATTAGTAGTCGCATTCATGATATTGGCATTCGTATTAGTATTGGTATTAGTAATATATGTGTTTATACATGTGTATATATATAGCCCTGTGCACCCACCACGAACCCCCTTTCTCATGATTACATATGATTTTATATATGATTTCTATGATTTTCGGACTCACTTTTGAGGCTCTTTTTTGGAAGACCTTTTGGGCTCCCTTCTCCGTCTCCAACACAACACCCATTACTCAACAGCCTCCTTCTCCAACACAACACCCGATACTCAACAGGCTCTCTCCCCAAGCTGAACTTGAAAAGAACCTTCTACTCAACTCCCTCCGTCTCCAACACAACGCCCAGTACTCAACAGCCTCCTTCTCCAACACCCGATACTCAACAGGCTCCCTCCCCAAGCTGAACTTGAAAAGAACCTTCTACTCAACTCCCTCCGTCTCCAACACAACACCCAGTACTCAACAGCCTCCTTCTCCAACACAACACCCGATACTCAACAGGCTCCCTCCCCAAGCTGAACTTGAAAGAACCTTCTACTCAACTCCCTCCGTCTCCAACACAACACCCAGTACTCAACAGCCTCCTTCTCCAACACAACACCCGATACTCAACAGGCTCCCTCCCCAAGCTGCACCAAGAACCCCCCTTTCTCATGATTTTATATGAATTTATATATGATTCCTACGATTTTCGGACTCACTTTTGAGGCTCTTTTTGGAAGACTTGTTGAGCTCCCTTCTACTCAACTCCCTCCGTCTCCAACACAACACCCAGTACTCAACAGCCTCCTTCTCCAACACAACACCCGATACTCAACAGGCTCCCTCCCCAAGCTGAACTTGAAAAGAACCTTCTACTCAACTCCCTCCGTCTCCAACACAACACCCAGTACTCAACAGCCTCCTTCTCCAACACAACACCCGATACTCAACAGGCTCCCTCCCCAAGCTGAACTTGAAAAGAACCTTCTACTCAACTCCCTCCGTCTCCAACACAGCATCCAGTACTCAACAGCCTCCTTCTCCAACACAACACCCGATACTCAACAGGCTCCCTCCGTCTCCAACACACACACACACATGTACTCCAGATCCTACCACCACAACACGACGCCACACCCGAAACTCCAACCGCACCCGCCCCCCTTTTTTCTTGGCATCTTCCAAGAGAAAAGGGGGGTTCATGGTGGGTGCTGCGGCCCATATATATGTATACATACACGCACACATCGGACGTGATTGCTTCACGACGCGAGGAGGTCAGGGGATGAAGAGGAGGATGAGGACGATCGGCGGCGCGCAGAAGGGGAGCAGAGCGAGGGGGACGGCCTTCCAAGAAGGCGGGGGAGCCTCTGAGAAGGCCGGGGTCTTCTCGGATGCCCTCCCGGCCTCTTAAGAAGCCTTCTCGGAAGCCTTTGGGGCCTCCCGAGAAGGCCCTTGGCCTCGAAGAAGCACGCCGCCCTGTGAGAAGGCGGGGGGCCTTCTCGGACGCCCTCCCAAGAAGGCACCGGACCCTTCCAAGACGGCGGGGGAGCCTCTGTGAAGGCAAGGGCCTTCTTGGGCTTAAGTCGGGCCTGTCGTCCTACAGGGGGATTTTTGGACGAACAATTTTATAGTCAAAAATATTCCAAAATGGTCAAAACATATAGAAGAATCGTCCCCAGACTATGTTTTGACTACTTTCTCATACTCCTCCTGTAGAGGCACAGGCCCGACTCAATCTCAGACGCCCTCCCGGCTCCGTAAGAAGCCCTCGCGGAAGCTTCTGGGGCCTCCCGAGAAGGCAACCGGCCTCCATGGAGCACGGCCGCCTTCTGAGCAGGCCCCGGAGGAGGAAGAGCAGGAGGAGGAGGAGGAGGAGCAGGAGGAGGAGCAGGAGCAGGGGCAGGGGCAGGGGCAGGAAGAGGAGGAGGAGGATGAGGAGGAGGGCCGGGAGGCCCGTCTCGCGGGCGGCCTGCAGGCCGCCATGTACCTGAACAACTGCAAGTGGGGCCTCCACGGCCCCCTCGAGGTGCTGTCGCGCAGGGCCGTGGCGGCGTACGTCTCAGGCTCGTCTGCGGGGAGGGCTCCTCCTCCTCCTGCTCCTCCTCCCCCCCCCTCGTCCTTCTCCTCCTCCTCTTCCTCCTCTTCCTCCTCCTCCTCCTCCTCCTCCTCCTCCTCGCGGGCGGGGAGGCGGCGAGAGCTTGGCGTGGCTCGGACGCGCGCGTGAGATCGTCTGCGAGGGCCATCGTGGAGCATTTGTGACCACGTGGCAAAGCCGAAGAGGCGCGAAGTCGAGGAGTGCACAGGGAGTGGACGGCCGAGCGATATCGGGAGAAGGAGTGGCGGATTGGGGGGGGAGAGGGAGTCGGAGATCAGCAAAACTGAGGGGAGGTGAAGAGATTTGGCGAATGCCAGTGTGAAGGGGAGGTGGGGGAACATGAGAACGCAGATAGATGCGGTTAATGAGGACTTGGAGAGAGAAGGAGGACGCGCCGGCTGAGGCGGGGAAGGAGGAGGAGGAGAGAACAAATAGCAGCAGAGGAAGGAGAGCGGAGGAGGAGGACACATAGGGGGGATAAAAGCGGGACAGAAGGGGCAGACGAGCAACCATACATCGCAGACCCCGTGGGCTGACCACAGTGGCAGAAGATCAGCGCATGTATACCAAAGGTACCGACGCAGACGAGCACAGGACCGAGCACTACCGGCCATGCGGAACACCAACACCAGATCAACCAAACGCATGACGCCGTGGCGAGAACAGCACGATTCAGGGCATCGCCAGTCGGGCACCCCGAGGCCAAGGACGCGATTCAAGAGCAGGCGACAGCGGACACGATTGCAGCATGCCGCCAACGTGTTCGGCGAGACATTGGCGACGAGCAAGGAGGGCTACTTCCCAGCCACCTGCTCCTTCCTCACCATAACCGACCACCCAGACGGCGAGATTGACAAGCTACGCAAGGCCTAGAAGTAGGGGATGTGGGCACCAGAGCTGGAACATGCGGGCGTCTCAGAGTCTGCACAGCCATTGCCAAGGACGAGCACATTCGCATCACATGGTTCATCCACCACCCAATCCAGATGCTTGGCTTGGCCCCCCCCCCCCTCCACGTGTGTCTGGGTTCGGGGAGAGCGGGCCGACGACACCATCACGATTCAGCAAGGCACGAGCTGCACGGAGCAGACAAGAGCCGCCAGACCAAGCACCAGGCCTAATCGCATCGGCATCATCACGGGCGCCATCATGCTCGCGCGCAGACCACGAACGCCACGGACTTGGACGCACACAAGCAGGCGATCGCCGACTTCATGGACCAAGTCCGCGCGCACGGCAGGACCGCCAACCGCCGACCGCCAACGGAAGCCACTGACCGCAACGCAGCAGTGGGCGCCGTCATGCGCGCGCAGACCACGAACGTCGCCCACCTGGGCGCACACAGGGGGGGCGGGCTCGGCGTCTGGGGGGGCCCTAGGTGAAGCCTGTCGGCTGGCCCTCCTCCGCCTGCCCTGGCCCTTTAGGGCCGCCCCGTTTTTGTTTGTATTGAAGGGCTCCTCCTTAGTGCCTTTAGGGCCCCGACTTTCACTTTCACTTTCGGGCGCACACAGAGAGGTGAGATCTTCGACCTCGTGGGCCAGGTCATCACGCACGGCAGGACCTTCAACCGTCGACCGCCCAAGGAAGCCACCGACTGCGACGAAGCAGCGTGCCGCGGCCACAGTCCTGCCAGCACGAAGCCGAAAACTGGACTGTTTGGGGAACCAAGTTGCGAACAAAAGACTCTACGTCGGGTGTTTCAGGGAGGGGGAGGGGGTGATTGAGGAGAGTGGGGTGGTGAGGAGCCAGGGAGGAGATGGTGGTGGTGGTGGTGGTGGAGGTGGGCGAGAAGAGGAAGGACGCGTCGGTCGGACGATGGATGGGGAGGGTGGCAGTTGTGGAGGAGGCCAGGTGGGGCAGCGGCCGCCGTGGCCCAAACCTTCCCTGATTCTAGAAACAGGTAACGAACCGTGCCGCTCCTCTCGGGGAAACGTAAGGTTCGAGTTTGCCTGGATTCGGGCTTGCCACTGCTTTTTGACGGCCCCGGCGTGAATTGTGTCGTGTCTTGTTTACGCGAGCCGTTTGCAGCAGTGGTTTGCGTCAAATCTCAAGCCAGGTCCAGATTTTTTTTGGCGGCGCCGTCGGGCAAGTCCGAAACCACCACATCGAAGAAGAACCAATTTCATAAACATACACTTTCGGCGGTCCGCGCTGATATGCTGGATCTGCGCTGGAGCCCCTCCGGCGCCGCCCCTGGCGCGCGCGCCAGGGAAGGGGGTCCAGCGCAGATCCAAGACATCCGCGCGGAACTCCGAGAATTTGTGTCTATGCCGTTGTCGGCAACTGGGAATCGTCCCGTGATGCGAATCTCAGGTGGAGGAGGCGGAGGAGGAGGAGGAGGAGGAGGAGAGGAGAAGGAGGAGAGGGGAGGGGTGGAGACTTCGCAGCACGTGACGAGTTCACCCTGCCCGAGCTGTGCGCGCCTCGCACGGACAAAAAAAACGCCCGAGCCTCTCGTCTCCCCGAGCCTCTCGCGGCGCCGAGGGCGGGCGCCTCGCGGGGCCATGGGCGCCAGGGCGGGCGCCCTCGCCTGGGCGCTGGCCGCCGCGCTCATGCGCGCGCGCGGCGCGCAGGCCGTGAAGAGCTCCCTGGTGCGCCGCGAGGCGAGCCGGCCCGAGGCTCCGCGGCGCGCCCCATCGGGACGACCGGAGTTCGGTTCCTCCTCCTCCTCCTCCTCATCTCCTCTCCTCCTCCCTCTCCTCCTCCTCCTCCTCCTCCTCGCTCTTCCTCTCTCAGCCCTCCTCCTCCTCTCCTCCTCTCCTCCTCCTCACTCTCCATCTTCCTCCTCTCCTCCATCTCCTCCTCCCCCCTCCTCCTCCTCCTCCTCCTCCTCCTCCTTCTCCAGCCTGCAGACAGTACATCACAGCGGACGCCCTGCAGGAGTTCGCCATGACGGAATGCAGCGCTACATACAGCACGGCCAACGAGATAGTCGAGGTAAAGGGCGACAGGTTCATGGGCAATGGCAAGATACATTGCAGCCACGTGGTCAGTGAATGGGTGCGGTACGGACTGCTATTCTGTGCGCGGTGCGCAGCACATGGAACGACCATTGGGAAAAGGCTACGCGAGCAGTGCAGCGAGACGATCACCAAGTACGGGCAGGATGCGCTCAACAAGATTCGGGACGGACGCTACCCTGGCTACAGGAAAGAACCACCGCGAGCTGCACAGGAGGCTCAAATAGCTAGGCAGGTGCGTGAGCTACATGATCAAGAACGGCTAGCGCCGCATGAGTACGGCGGCCCTTTGGTTGGGAATGTGCCCCCTCCAGAACCACACCCTACACCCCGACCGAGACGGATTACGAGAAAGACACCAGTGGCAAGTATTCGGCCAGCAGCGGTACACCCAACAGATTGCGAGTGCGAGCCTCTGCCTGAGCCGAGGTCACAGGAGTTGGAGGATTACGACGACCCCGAGGTGCAGAGGGACATCGACGATTTCTTCAGCGAAGCGCCCCTGCGCGGGGAGGAGTCAAACCGAGGCGTGCCCCAGCGTGGCGAGGGGTTAGGCCACTTCACACCCCAGCACGGTGAGGGGTTAGACCGTACGGATCGTCGTCATGCAGCTGGATCGGAATCTGCCCCCCCACGGCACGCACTGGATGCACGCAGCCCCTTTGGCCACGAGTGCTGAAAGTACCGACCGCGGGGGGAGTCAGAACGTAGTGGACAGCCATAACCACGACGACAATTGCAGAATGGACGACAGCAATGGAGTATTGGATCAAGACCCAGGCGCGATGGGACTACCGCCGATCGTTGAGGACACGGGGCCACAAGATTATGTCGACATGCGTGCGGATCTTAGAGAATGGGCAACACTGTGGTACGACGATCTTACGTGCTTGGCCAGGGACAGCGACAGCTGGCAGGAGTGGTGCGTAGCGATGCTCGCGCAGATGCTCACCGACGAGAACAATCACCCCCTGTGCCGCACATTGAGGCGCTGGTTCCCAGGGCAGACGATGCAACATATCATCGAGCAGCAGTGCGGAAGTGCGAGGAGACAAACAACGGCGAGAAGGGATGAGTTCTATGAACGACTCCATGCGCCAGAGACAGAACCCGAAGAGTATCGCAGATTGGTTCATCGGCATCGGCGTGAACTTGCACGGCTACGAGACATGTTCCGCAGGGCGTTAGGAAATCGGGCGCCAGACGGACAAATGCCGCCACCCCCACGACGGCCTGAATCATATGACGATCATCCAGCAGGAGACCCCGTGGAAGCTGGCCTCAGTCGCGGCAGCTGGTGCTGCAGGCTTGAGCGGGCGACTGCTGGGAGCACGGATGCCGCGTCACCTGCAAGAAGGACGCGCAGAGTCTCCACGGCGACAAGTGCATCGGCGGCAGCATCAAGCCCAGCGGGTGAGGGACCCCTGCGCGGCGAGGGGTTAGGCCACGATGCTCCCCAGCGCGGCGAGGGGTTAGGCCGATGGGAACATACACTGGCGTGCTCGAGCAGGTTAGCCAGGGCCGCGGCAGGCGACTACATCGAGCTCGAGCTCTACGATGAGGACGACGACACTGCACCCCAGCACGGCGAGGGGTTAGGCCGTATTGACGATGAAGGACTCCTTCGAGGCGAAGGAGAACAAAGGGTCGAAGGGCGGCGTCATGATGGACAGGAGATAGTGGGGGCGCGGCCCCATGAGCACCACGACCCGATCTCCACGAGCCAGGGACAGCCCGACGACCGCTCCGAGTGGAGCAAAGCACCCCAGCGCGGAGAGGGGTTAGACCGCGTCAACGAGAGGGAGCAGTACGGAAAGCAGTACGTCGCGCCCCAGCGCGGTGAGGGGTTAGATCGCAGCCGACCCTCGCAGGGCGAGACTGCGGGGTCAGGCGATCCCCAGCACGGTGAGGGGTTAGACCGTAGGCTCCCCCTGCGTGGCGAGGGGTTAGGCCACCAACCCCAGCGCGGTGAGGGGTTAGACCGCGTTTTTCCCCCGCGTGGCGAGGGGTTAGGCCACAATGTTCCCCTGCGTGGCGAGGGGTTAGGCCACGATGCTCCCCAGCGCGGCGAGGGGTTAGGCCGATGGGAACATGCACTGGCGTGCTCGAGCAGGTTAGCCAGGGCCGCGGCAGGCGACTACATCGAGCTCGAGCTCTACGAGGAGGACGACGACACTGCACCCCAGCACGGCGAGGGGTTAGGCCGTATCGACGATGAAGGACTCCCTCGAGGCGAAGGAGAACAAAGGGTCGAAGGGCGGCGTCATGATGGACAGGAGATAGTGGGGGTGCGGCCCCATGAGCACCACGACCCGATCTCCACGAGCCAGGGGCAGCCCGACGACCGCTCCGAGTGGAGGAAAGCACCCCAGCGCGGTGAGGGGTTAGACCGCGTCAATGAGAGGGAGCAGTACGGAAAGCAGTACGTCGCAACCCAGCGCGGTGAGGGGTTAGACCGCAGCCGACCCTCGCAGGGCGAGACTGCGGGGTCAGGCGATCCCCAGCACGGTGAGGGGTTAGACCGTGGGCTCCCCCTGCGTGGCGAGGGGTTAGGCCACCAACCCCAGCGCGGTGAGGGGTTAGACCGCGTTTTTCCCCCGCAAGGCGAGGGGTTAGGCCACAATTTTCCCCTGCGCGGCGAGGGGTTAGGCCGCAATGTGTACTTCGAGCTGGAGCTCTACGAGGAGGACGTCGTGGAGGTCACCGCCAGCGGCGTGTCGCAGGCGCAGCCCTGTGCGCCAGCCGCCGCCGCCGCCGCTCGCAGGCCCGCCGACGTGAACCCTTGTGTGCCAGTGCTGGCGCCAAGGAGTGGGCCCTCGCTGGCCAGAGGGCCGTCGAGCGGCGGTGGAACTGACTGAGAGAGAAATCCACGGGCTCGCCATGTCGAGCGGGGGCTTCTGTGCCTGCTCGGGGTGGCGGGTCTAGTGGCGTGCCTAACCTAATCCTCCCCCCTCCTCCTCCTCCTCCTCCTCCTCCTCCTCCTCCTCCGCCTCCTCCGCCTCCCTCCTCCTCCTCCTCCTCCTCCTCCTCTCTCCTCCTCCTCCTCCTTCTCCTCGTCTCCTCCTCCTCCTCCTCCTCCTCCTCCTCTTCCTCCTCCTCCCCCCCCCTCCTCCTCCTCCTCCTCCTCCTCCTCCTCCTCCTCCTCCTCCTCCTCCTCGTCTTCCTCTCGGCCTCGGCCTGCTGGGCGCCCGAGATGGGTGCGGAAAGAATGGGTACGATGCCCAACATCAGTTCTTGTTCATTGTGTACAGGACTTGCTGTCCGCGCCGCCGCGGCCTGTGTCCATTTGAGACAGAAGGCCGCCTGCCCAACAGCGGCCGCTCTTGGTTTGGGACAACATTTGTTGTTGGGTGGTGTACACATTCTTTCCGTGCCCATTTCGGGCGTCTAAAGAAAAGGTAGCCCGCAGCCCCGTGCACTTGTTGTTGGACAGGTAGACGTCCTGGCTCGCCTATAGCCCTACCAAACAATGTTCTAGACGTTCCCACGAAGTGTTCTTATAGCATTTCTGGCTGGGAGTGTCTTTTGTTATCACATCGGGGATCTGTTCTTAGCACATTGAGTTTGTGTTTCAAGCATTTTTAGGTTCTATGAACATTTCGTGGTAGGACTATAGGAATGCCAGGACGGTCGGTCCCTGCTCAAGAAAGGTAGCCCGCAGCCCCGTGTACTTGTTGTTCGACAGGTAGACGTTCTTCCTGATGAGCGCACCTGTTGAGCAAGTCACGAAAGTGATGGTCGACATGCAGTAGAACAATCCCAACACAGAAAGTAGTAGCGTAGAAGTAACAAATACACCGCGCCACAATACCAAAAGATATCGACTACTTATGCATGTCGTTCAAAATAATAGCATCCATCTTCATGCCCAATTTTGATGCTCCATCTCAAACTGATCGCACCCACAGCCCCAGATATTCATCGAGCCGTGGCGAAGCGTGCTGGCTCGTCTAGAGGCCCACCAAAGAATTGTCTAAGAGCCTTGTGTGATCTGAACGACGTGTTCTTAGGACATTTCTGGCTGGGACCGTCTTGTTTTAACACATCGTGTCGATGTTATAAGATCATGTTCCCTACCTAGGCTCTGCCTAGAAGGGTTCTTACTCTGTAAACTTAAAGGGCCGGGCAGTGGAACCCGCCCCAGGCGGTTCCCCCGGCATCCGCCCCGCGGTTCCCCCACTGACGCTCCCTTAGCTTAGCGTTGCTTATCTCATTCTCTACCTAGGCTCTGCCTGGAGGGTTCTTACTTGGTTTGCTTAAAGGGGCCAGGCAGTGTAGGCCGCCCCGGGCGGTTCCCCCAGTCCCCGCCCCGCGGTTCCCCCAGTTGCACCCCCTGGGTTCACCCAGCTCAGCTTAGCTAAGCTAAGCTTAGCTTAGCTGAGCTGAGCTTAGCTGCGCTTATTTTAGCTTATCTCATCTTAGCTTAGCTGATCTTAGCTTAGCTTCGCTTAGCTTGGCTTGGCTTGGTTTAGCTTAGCTTAGCTTAGCTTAGCTTATCTCACGTTGCTCAGCTTAGCTTAGCTTTGCCTGACCTCGTTTAGCTTAGCTTTAGCTTAGCTTCAGCTTAGCTTTAGCTTTAGCTCAGATTTATATTAGCCTTTTTTTCAGCTTAGCTTTAGTCTAGCTTTACCTGAACTTGAGCGTAGCTTTAGCTTAGCGTTAGCTTTAGCTTTAGATTTAGCTTCATGTTTAGCTTTAGCTTTAGCTTAGCTTCAGTTTAGCTTTAGCTTAGCGCTAGCTTAGCTTAGCTTAGTGTCAGTCTAATGTTAGCTTAGCTTTAGCTTAGCTTCAGCTTAGCTTTAGCTTATCTCTAGCTTAGCTTTAGCTTAGCTTTAGATTAGCTTTAGCTTCGCCTTAGCGTTATATTAGCTTTAGCTTAACTTTAGCTTAGCTTTAGCTTGGATGCAGCTTAACATCAGCTTATTTTTAACGTATATTCAGCTTTAGCTTAGCTTGAGCTTAGCTTTAGTTTTTTAGCTTAGCTTTAGCTTAGCTTTAGCTTAGCTTTAGCTTAGCTTTAGCTTAGCGTTAGCTTAGCTTTAGCTTAGCTTTAGCTTAGCGTTAGTTTCGATTCAGCTTAGCTTTAGCTTAGCTTTACTGTTACTACTAATGCTGCTTTCCTAGGGTCTCCAACTCCTAGGTAGGGTCGCACTGGGATAATTTGTTATTAGGCTGTTTGTTGTTATAACACATGTCATGGGAGGCCTATACGAATGCTGGGACGGTCGGTCCCTGCTCAAATGATATCACCCCCCCTTCCTACGCGAGGGTTTATTATCCCCGGGAAAACGTTTACTATCCTCCCTGGACCCCGAAAGTTCTCATCCCCAAGGGATTCATATCAGCACAGGGAACCCATACCTCTAACCTTCCCTCGTTTTCCCTTTTGGGGGCCTCCTTGGAGGCCTCGTCGTCACCGCTGGATTCGCCTCGAAATCCTAGTCAGAACGCACACCGAGCGAGGTCCAGGGAGCAGCTGTATCGGTACCTTTGGGTCTCCCCAGGCGTGGGTACAGAAAGCATGGGCACAAAGACCGACAACAGTTCCTCTTCTGTTCGGGATCCCGCAAAAAGGGTGTGTGTGTGTGTGTGTGTGCCCGGTGTGTGTGTGTGTGTGTGAGAGAGTTTGATCGGTCTTTGCACCGAAGCGCCCAAAACAGATGCCACCCGGCCGCCGGCAGCTCCCGATAGTTGCCGTTTGTTGTGGCATGCGGGGGGCATTTGTTTGCGGCAGTTCGGTGCACCAAAGGCTGGGCACAAAGACCGGGACGGAGTAGATGAGGTCGGAAGATCGCGCCGCATCGCCCACGCATCGCCGATGTGGCTCGATGTAGGGCCGATTTGCTACACGTCGACGTCGCCAATGCATCGCCGATACATCGCCGATGCATCGCCGATGCATCGCCGATGTATCGGCGATGCGGCGCAATCCTCCTGCCCCATTTACTCCAACTCCATCTAGGAGGCCTGTAAACAGTTCCTGCTCATCTTGATCCAGACCTGCTGTCGGTGTCGCCGCGGACGGTGTCCATTTGAGGGACAAGGCCGCCTGCCCAGCCGTTGGTTTTGAACAACATGTGCTGTTGGGCATTGTAGTCACTTTTTCCGTACCCTCTTTGGGCGTCCAAAGCCCAGGGGGGGAAGACAGCAGAGGTGGCCAGCCTTCTCTGAAGGCGGCAGTGTTTCTCAGAAGCCCTCCCGCTTTCCGAGAAGCTATCCTGCGGCTTCGGAGGAGGCCCCGCTACCTTCTGCGAATGTGGCCCGCTTTGCCTCCCCCCAGCGCGCCGGCCGCCGAGAGGCGAGAGACCGATCGTTCACGCTTGTGTCCCGATTGTCGGACGGGGAGCTGCGCATCGTCATGAACGACGAGCAGGATCGGGTAGCAGAGGAGATGCAGCCGTGGCTGAAGTCGGCTGAGCCGCACATGAACGTGATTAAGACGCGATACCTAACCTTCGAGACAGACAACGGCGGTTTCAACAACATACGTATGGCTTTCGAGTACTTCGTCGACGTGGCTCGCACTTCCAATCGCACGCTGGTGCTCCCCCCTCACGAGGGCCTTTACTTACTGGACTGGGGGCCCAGGACCGCGCGCAACCGTTCCGACCAGGGCTGGATAGGGACCCGCACGCAGACGGAGTACGATGACCTCTGGGACCTCGGCGACCTCCGGAAGAAGGTCCCCGTGCTGAAGGCGCAGGATTTCTACGACGACGTCCTCAGGCCTGGTGGTGCCCCCCTGGTGGCAAGCCCCAGCCTGCAGATCAACAACCAGCCCGACTTCAGCCAATGGAAGCGGGGGGGGAGCTGGAGGAGGAGGAGGAGGAGGAGGAGGAGGAGGAGGAGGGGGCACAGCTTAGAGAAGGAACAGACCGATGCCGATGCCAGTCCTTGGTTGCCACTGCTGGAATATTCCCGAACTGCTAGTCAGAATTTACCCCAGGAGAGGCCCTTGAAGAAGCGGAATCGGTACACCTGTTCCTACCAGTACTAATCAAACGTCCAAAGGAGTTTCCTGTGATCAGCATGCAACGTTTTGCATACGGTAATAATTATTCACGCTTCGCGTGACCCCACCAGCCCCTTCAGAAACCCTGCGCATGAGAGCTGACGGGAACAGAGACGAAGAGACCCATATAGTGAAACAAAGCAGGCAATCCTGATGAACGGAGAGATCCTTGGGAGCAAGGGGTTGGCCTTGGAGGGACTCTTCGGGCCATCCCTGGGGCCCGCGTGGGGGCGAGGGGTGGAGGAGGAGGAGGAGGAGAAGGAGGAGGAGGAGGAGGAGGAGGAGAATGAAGGAGGAGGATAATGAAGGAGGAGGAGGAGGAGGAGGCACACCGCCCCGCTCTTGGGGCCCTCTTGGGGCCCTCATGGAAGTCCTGGAGGGCCTCTTGAAGCCATCTTGGAGTCCATCTCGGAGGCTATCGATCCTGGAGGGTCATCAACATCGCATCTTAGGGCGCTCTTGGGCCGATCTTGGGCGCTCCTTGGGCCGTTTTGGGAGCCTCGCGGGCTCCTCTTGGGGCTCTCTTGGGCCATCTTGGGGCAATCTTGAGGCCTCCATCCCGCCTTGGAAGCGAAAACGCGAGAAAGCAACACTCATCGTTTTTCTTTAGGTCTGTGAAGGATCTGGGCCTTTGGGGAGGGTCCTGAGAGGGCTGCCAGAGCACTTTCAGCCTTGTGGCGCTCGTCGGGCTTCTTAGGGGTATGTCGGAAGCTACTTTGAATTATCTTCGGCTATCTGGGGTTGCCTTGGAGGCCATCTTGGAGCATCTGCGGCACTCTTGGAGCCATCTTTGGCCATCTTGGGCGGCCTGGCCGCTCGCGATCCCGAAGAAAACTCGGAGAGGGGGGGAGAGGGCTGGTGGGATGAGAAGTTGTCTGAAGGGCTCCACCGACTGCCGCCGGTCTCTCCCTTCGGACTTGCTGTGCGGGTAGGTTGGTTGTGCTGAGCTGCTGACTCGCAACACGGTTCTCTGGTTGGTTGACGGCTGGCTGCTTGGTGTCAGGTTGGCCAGTCGATGCCCTGGGAATCTCATCAAGAATGCGAGGAGGTCAAAGGAATTTCCCAAAGCAGTATTTGCATTTCGAGGCTTTTGCTTCTGGACTCAGGAACTGGGCCTGTGCCTCGGTCTGGCGGCTATGTGGCCGCTGTTGCCGCCCCGTCGCCGCCTCATCGTCGCCTATCGTCTGGGCATGTGCGTCGGCCTGGCGGCTATGTGGCCGCCATCGCCGCCGCCTCAGTGCCGCCTCGTCGCCACCGCGCTTTGCACTGCATTTGTTTGCGCTGCGTTGCGCAACATATATATATATATATATATATATATATATACACATAACGCCGCACCGGGCCCGGGGGCCCCAGGGCCGCAGCCTCGACCACAAATGGGGGGACGTCGGGCCCAGCCCGCTCCCCGGCGGGCCCCAGGTCGGCCCCCGGAGCGCCCAGACGGCCGTCCAGGCAGCCCAAGGCCGCCCAGAGCCACCCTGAAGACAACCTCCAGCGGTCTCCCGCGGCTCAAGAGGCGTCTCGAACCGCCCCAGACGCCTCCAAGACGCTCGAAGACCCCCCGAAGAGATCCCCCCAGACGGCCCCGGGAAGCAAACATAGCCCCATTCACTTCGTAAAACATACATTTTTACCATATTCGATTTTTTGTCCTTCGTACCGTTCACTCGAACGCCCTTTCCTTGTGCGTTGTCGCAAGAGAGCCCTTGCAACACGTGAGGCGGGGTGCGCGCGCGCCCGCCGTCGCGCACGGACGCCGGCATTTTTCGGACACCCAGGGTGCTTGGAGGATCTGGGCGTCGAGCGCCCCGAAACTATCCACAAAACAATGGGTTTCGCAGCAAGCTGTTTCAAACAAAAAAAAACTGCTCTCGCGCCCCCTGCGAAGTCGTGAGACAGCCATCGGTGGTTCAGCATCTTCACCACATGCGACCAAGCGGGCCTCGCGCGCACATGTCGTCATCCGAACGCCCTTGCGCTCGTGCGGCGTGCGGGGGGGCTACACATAATCCCATACGGCATACAGGCTCCTCGCGTGCGTCGGCCGCGCTCGCATGTCGAACACCGGAGCAGATCTTTCATCGCCGACCAGAGGCGACCATGATTTGCATCGGCGTGGTCAGAATTGGCGCCGTCATTTGCCTTGCCGTCGTCATCGTCATCGTCGGCGATAGCACCGCTGCTATCATCATCGTGTCTGCCATTGCCGACGTCGTCATGATACCGCGCCCGCCCGAATCACCGACTCGCGCCGAAATGCCTGCGCGTCAGCGCGGCCTGCGAGACGTGTTGGGAAGTCCTCAGCGGTCAGCGCCACCCCGGCCGCGTCGGTCGCGCCAGACCAGTTGGCCGTTGTGCGCGCGACTCGGCGCGAAAGCGGCCGCAGTGGTGCAACAGCCAGCGCCGAAGAGTCATCATAATCGCCGCCACATGGGTTTTGCAAACCAAGTTGCCGGTGGGTGCGTGGGATGATTGCGCGAGCAGTGGAGCTGACAAGTTCAAGCTCGGCAGGGTGAACTGCGTAGATTACGCCACATGTGTTGGGCAATAAGATGGCCAAAATCACACCGTTTAAGGTCCTCTTTGGCTAACTTGATTGTGCTGATGAGTGTTGCTTTCCGAGCACGGGCAGGCCGGCTTTTGCGTATAAGTAGGTCCAACATGTGTGTACATATTCCCCCCTTCTGGCTTCGGATTGTTTGCTTCTCTCCGACCCGACAGTGCGCGCGAGGCCGCCGTCACCATCAATTGTGTACATATTCCCCATGCGTCTTTCGCACTTGGAGGGTTCTCAGTGGTGTCATGTAAAGAGCTGTGTGGGCTCCCCGGGTTGTCGCCACATTGCGGGCTTGTGCCGCTTCGTGAACGCCCCGTGCGTTCGGCGGGGTGGGAGTCCCGAGGCGCCACGTTGCCGCCCGTGCCGCCTCGTGGGCGTCTCGTGGGCGCCCCGTGCGGTGCGTTGGTTTCCCGAGGCTGCGCCACGCTGTCGCCTGTGCCGCCCCGTGAGCGCCCTGTGCGGTGTGTTGGATCCCCGAGCTCCACGTGGCCGCCCGTGCTGGCTCGTGGGCGCCTCGTGAACGCACCGTGCGCCGGGTGGGTATCGGGAGGTTTCGCAACGTTGCCGCCGCGTGGGCACCTCCACCGCGTGGGCGCCTCCAAGGCGCCAGTTGCTCTGAGTCCAAGAGAAAGATTTCACCACATAGCCTACACAACACAGCTCATACCAAATAGCTCACACCGCATAGCTTGCACAAAACAGCTTGCACCGCATAGCTTTCATCCCCTTGCTTCACACCTGACTCACGTCGCATAGATTACACGACATATGTTCGACCACGTGGTTTACATCGCACTGTGTTTATTTACATGGCTCACACCAAATAGCTTCCACGACACAGCTTTCATCACATAGGCTACACTGCGTAGCTTGCACCTCCACCGTGCAATGAAGCACCGTTTGGGGTCCACGCTGTCAAACATGCGCAGACAACACGAGAGACATCGTCGTGGCCTCGCGGGGAGCGCGGACGAATGTATTCTCCACAAGGTATCGTAGCTTCGGGAGCGCGGAACCATGTTTGTTGTGCGACTGGGCGTGTCCTTGAGAGCGTGGGCTCGTCATACTATCTGAAGGATCGCTGCACCTGTCGCCGGGGCCCATCGTTTCTTGTTGCGAGGCATCTTGGCTTCGGGAGTGCGGGGCAACTCTTGCGCTTCTTCCTGGCAAAGGATACTGGCCTCCAGGATGCCGATCCCTGTTGTTTCTTCAGCGGTGGGTGGGGGTGTTCGGAGCGTGGGTCCGTCGTCTGTGGCTTGGTTTCGACAATTTTCCCAACTCTTTGTTGGGTTCTTGTTTTGAATGGGTATTGACGATCGCTAATTTCTCATCCCAGCTCCCCCCTCTCTTTTCCTGCCTCCTGCCTGTCTCTCACCTGCCTGCGATCCCTGGGGTTGTGCGAACTGGAACACTATCGCCACTTTCGAGGGTTGCTGCGGGGTGGGGTGGAACGCAGTGGGATGCCTCCGCAGATCCAGGTTAGACCTCGCCGTCCCCCGGGGGCTGCGAACTGCGAGTCTGTCGCCACTTTCGAGGGTTGCTGGGGGGGCCGAAAAGTAGGTGGCCTGAGATTCACACTAGGCCTCGCTATCCCTGGGGGGGGCTGCGGGCTGCGAGACTCTCGCCACTTTAGAGGGCTGCGGGGGGCGGGGGGGCAGCGTAGTGGGAGGCCTCTTCAGATTCGGGCTAGGCCTCGCCATCCCTGGGAGGGGGGGGGGGGGGGCAAACAGCGAATCTGTCGCCACTTTTGAGGTCTGCTGAGGGGGTCAGCGTAGGGTAGGCCTCCGCATATCCAGTTTAGACCGGGGGCTGCGATTTGCGAGTCTGTCGCCACTTTCAAGCGCTGCTGGGGGGGCAGCGGAATGATGACCTGCGCGAGCTCAGGGGAGACCTTGCCATTTTGGGGGGGCTGCGAACTGCGAATCTGTCGTCACGTGGCTGGGCTCCTGCGGCGTCTAGCGGAGTGATATCTTAACTATGTATCATACTGAAACCTCGCCGTCGTTGGGGGCTGCGACATGCGAAATTGGCGCCACTTTGGTGGGCTCCCGGGAGGTGCAGCGAGGTGACGCCTCATTCAGATCAAACGATACTTCGCCGTAGTTGTTATTGCGATTTGCGAAACGGTTTCCGATGTCGGTCTCCCTTGGGAAGTCCAGCGGGGCGATGTGTTACGCAGGTCAGATGAGACCTCGTCGTCGCCCTCGGCCTTCGTTCCAACCCCCATTCCTCGTCAAGCCTGGGGCATCACCCCTCGTCCTTATATTGCTGCCCTGTGAGTCGTACAACATGCGCGCAACCCATGCAACTTGCACAACAAATACCAGCTCCTGCATTATCAATAACCATCCGAAATTGCGCCATCTGCTCGGGCCATTGCTGCACATCGGTCGTGTACGTGGCAGGGTAATTCGATTGCAAGATTGTGGCCGCCAGGGCGCGTAGCCACAGTATTTTTGTCGACGGATCGTGTCTTCGTCGGCGCGCAGCAGTCTGTTTTCCTTTCGCGTGGGAGGTCCTGTTTGGTTCCCCACCCGACAGGCTGGAGTTCCGACATGCGACGTCGCTTTTGTTTCGCACTGTGTCGCCCCGAGGTCTGGACCCCTTCTCGGGGACCAGCTTTTCACCGTGACTTGTTGTTTCACGGTTCCGAGGCACAGGAAAGGTACCAAGAGGCCGAACATGTGGCAACCTTTTTCGTCGTGTGTTTTCTTTCCCCCCACGACGCGCAGGTGTCAGGGTTTATCGGCCCGACAGGTTGGAGTTGTTCGGTTTTCAGAACGACCGCACACCCGTTCGCCCGCGCTCGCCCCACACTTCTGTACGCTTCGCGTAGGAGTAGCGCCCTACCTGCAGATGCCAAAGTTTGCCAGGAATCGTGCTTTACTGTCCCGCCCGCTAGACCCGCTCGTTAGGGCCCACTCGTTTGTTCGTTTAGAAGCTGGCCCGCCAGCTTTCTAATGTCCTGCCAGGTGACGTCCGCCAGCCCGACCCACCCGTCAAGGTCTGCCCGACCCACCCATTCAATTTCGCCTTCCAGAACCACCCGTTTGGGTCCACCGCCCGACGCTCTTGTGTGGATCCGCAATGTTTTGCAGCGGCCTGTTGATTTGGCACCTTGTGAATGTGCTGAGACCACGTTTTGCATCTGTGGTGAAGGCCTGGCTGCGTCTTCCATCCTCCTCCTTGCTCCTGCTCTCGTCCCTCACTTCTCCACCCCCTTCCTTCTCGCTCTCTCCCTTCTGCTCTCCTTCATCTACCTATGTTGGGAGCTGCGCCAACTGCACCTGGCAGGTAAGGACGATATACCCCCCAGAGGGGGTACGATCGGAGAAGACGAGGGCGAGTATCGAGGGGTTGGGATACACATGTTGAATGACACACGGGCTGATCAGAGCGAGCAGCATCAAATGTAATGCTGTCGGTACTCGATGGTTGTTCGTCGTCCTCGCCCGGCGACCCGCACGCGACCCCTTCACGATCCACCCGCGACCCGCCCGCGACCCACCCGCGACCCGCCCGCGACCCATCCGCGACCCACCCGTGATCCACCCGCGACCCATCCGCGACCCACCCACCCGGCGGGCTCGGTGGGAAACGTGTTCGGGAAATTGCGCTTGCTGCGGGCTTGTGTGATTCGCCTTCGAGCCTGGCAGACCGCCGACGATCCCCCATCTCCCCACTCTCATTCTTAATTGTGGGGGCTATGGCGCACACATTATCCATGTTGTGTACCCGTCAGACTGCAAACGCAAGTCCGACGAAAGGCTAAGATAAACATTAGTGATTGCGTATCCATACAGTGCTCTGCTGACAGTACCTCGGGGCAGATTAATTCAGAATTGCGATTAAACTCGCGCAGTGCACCGAGCCTGGCGGCGTTTGTGGTGTACATGTTGACTGTAGAAGTGCGAAATGTGTCAGAAACTTATCAGTGCTGGGCACAAGTCGATGTCAAGTTGAATCGAAACTTACATGCACACATCACGCTGAAAAAACAGGTCAAGGGTAATGTGGTAGACATCTTACTGTAAACGTAACGCCAGGTCAATCAAACGGGCATCTTGAAAGCAAGCCAGTCTCAATACTAAAGTCACTCGATCTAGATGCACGCTGAGAGCAAGCGGAGCACATGATCACGGATTGCTAGAAGCAAGGTGAATCCAGTTTCCGATCGAGTTGAATTGACTTGTTGCGCAAACGCCAAGCCCACGACCGAGGAACGAAATTGGAGCAGGCGAACTGCAAGTATGAGGATGTCTTGTGGATCCTGACCTAATCGCGTTGTAAAGTAATCGCGTGAACTATTCGCGACGTCCTGAAAGAACCGCGATGTGAAGCAATCGTTTCAGAGCCAGTCCCAGAAAGGGGTCTAGACCTCCAGAGGGCCATGCTCTGGAACAAACGTGGGAGTTCAGGCGATCCAGGGGAAGGTGCTCCACGGTGATGGGGGCTGGATGTTCTTCAAGCATGCGCCCGCGCTCGGGAGAATTAGCAAATGATGAAGCCAGCCTCGGGCCGCCGATTGAACGGGTCCTCATGCAGAAACTAAGCTCGAGGTGTTGATTGGAACATTGAAGGTTGTTGAGTAAGCAGTAGTATAGTCTCTTCACGCTGGCGTGAGCAGTTGCCGTTGTCGTTGTGTCGGGGCGGTGTACGTGGACAACGTGCCCCTGGTACACCTCACGCCATCTGGGCAAAACGGCCTTGAGAAGACGCGCACCAGGCAGGCGATGTCTCGCACCCAATCCCAGAGTTGCCCCAGACAACTGGTCGCTCACCAAAGAAGGGAAACTCGGGGATAGTCTTTTCGGCTATTCGGACGCACCCCTATCGAGGATGGACGACCCCCATCGCATATCTCGGAGAACCTCAGGGCGTGTGTTCGCCCAATGTGTGTTTATCCCGTTTAGCCCAACCGCTAGAGCTTTACATCGCCTGCGTCGTATCGAAGGTCCTCGATGTACAAACACACGTTGGCGCTAACACACGTTCTGAGGATCATCGAATATCCCCGAGCTGGACCCGACATGAGTCGGCGAGTTTCAAGTTACACACGTGCACACACAAGCACACCTCAAAACGACGCAACAATGGATGCACAGGGCCAGGGCTTATCCCTGTAGGTCTGGGGCCCTCCCGAGGAAGTACTGGCTGTCCAAGACCGCAGACGTCGCGCTGGGAAACTGCGGCACAGTGAGGCACGTGGCGGAGAGCTCCCAGGCAGCGGTCGTGCACATCCCGTCGCGGCTCTGGGACAGCCACGGGCATATGACTTCGGAGAGAGAGCAGCGGTTCCTCTATTGCGATCACGGCAACACGGACAAGGCGGGGAGGGGGAGGGGTCCTGGATCTCTTCCTGCGCTTTCCGATGTTTTCGTCGGTCCAACACGCAGGTTCTTCGTCCTCGAGATACTCCCTTGCAGCTGCGCCTCGCCACCGGGCCTTCAGGGGGTGCCCAGATCGTTCCGATCGGCCGTCGGGGGCCCGGGTTATGTCTTGGAAGCCAGATTTTTTCGCGTCGTGAGCAAGTCACGACGGATGGTTTGGGACCATTTTCGGTGTTGGGGCTCCCACCGGGCCTCAGAGCTATCAAAACAAGACTCAGGATGGGAAGCGGGTCCCCGCAGCGGGGTCCAAGGCGCTGCGGAGCCGCATTGCGGACAGAATCGCGTCGTCGGATGCCAAGGCCAGTCCACGCGAAGGGACAATCGCGTATGGAGCCACCGCCGAGATAGGTGAGTTTCGGCTGTGCCCGTCCGCACTCACCTTCACTCACTCAAGCCATCCGCTGTCTAGGGCGTGGGCGGGGGAGAAACGTACATGCTCAGCACAGCCTGCTCTGCCTAGAGGGGGGGAAGGAGGAGGAGGAGGAGGAGGAGGAGGAAGCAAGGATGACACAGCGGATGCCAGATGCGTGAATAGGCGGCCTGCTGGGGCTCACGGGCATGTGTCCTGACATGTCGATGCGAGCTGTTTTGGGTAAACCATGCGTTGCCCATGCCTCTGCTCCCTGGACCTCCCCCGGGGTGCGTCCTGCAGGGGGCCACGTGCGCACCCTACCCCTGCCCCCCGCGACTTCGGAGGGGCAGGGAGGGCCTGCCGACGGTCTGCAGGTGCCGCTCGTGCTCCGAATCCCTTGCTGGTCGCCCCCCCCCCCGACCCCCCCGAAAAACACGGGGATGGACAGACCTCCTACCCTGACACGTCGATTAAGGAATTGGCCGTTTATCGTTTCGCGAGAGGGCGTCGCGGCCGTCATTTTTGCGGGTCCAGGTCCGTCGGTCTCGGTCCCAGGTCGTTTTCACTAAGGAGAGGTCTACTAAACGGAGGTTTGTCCACCGCCGAAACCGGACCCCCCTCCAAATGCAGCCAAATATTCCGGATCCCCCTCTTCGACGGGGCGCCTTGATAAGCCGGACCCCTTCATAAGTTGGACCCCCCCAGTTACAAAAAAGGCGCCTGAAAATCGGACCCGAAGGACGATAAATAAGGGATTTGGAGTACCCCCCTGCGTGGGACCTGTTGGGCTTCAGAAGACGCACATCTGCTGCGACTCCGCCCGCCATGTTTCGGCGTCACCCCAACATACTAGTACTATGTGTGCGTCGCCCCCTTGGGGCTATGCGCGCACCGAGAATGTTTACAGTATATGCGTCGCGGCGGGCGCTTTCTGGCCACACCGCTCGGGAAACGATATACTACAAGATGGGAATATTATATATTCTGGTCAGACGCGTGTCTCGAAGGATGACATATTGTATTAGTATGTCTCTGTGCGTCCCATATGATGCGACTCCGCCCGCCATGTTGGCGCAGAACTGCGTGCCGGCTGGACATTGGCCAGGACCCTTCCTAGTCCTTTGTGGGGCGAGAGTTCGTTGCTCCAAGGTCCCTCTCGTGGCGGTCGTTCCTCGGTGGGGCCTTGTTTGCCTCGGTCCACTGCGCGATCGTAGCGAGGCCCTCCCTCCAGCATCCAGCACAGCTCTCGCGCCGGCTTTCCTTCGGATTTATCAGTGTGCCTCAGGCTACGACTGGTTCACCTCCAATGTGCAATGGCCCCTTCCCGCTTGCACCGCAATCGACGGGTCAAATCGTGCAGTTGCCGTTTGGGGGGAGCAAGGTCTCCGAGGACACCCGAATGGGCGGATGCAACAGTATTCAGCACAATGGGGATATCATTACGGGTGGGTGGGGTAGGATGTCAGCTGTGGCGCGAGCGTGCCTAGCCTAACCCAAGCCCCTTTCTTCTCTCCTGCTCCACCAGCCTCTTTCTTCTCTCCTGCTCCCTTCTCCCCGCTCCTCACCGCCCGCTGCCCGCCCCAGGCTCAGAGGAGGAGAGGTACAGTGGAGGGGTACGAGGAGACGGCGGAAGGTGTTCATCGGATGCCGAGGAAGAGGACCTTTTGGGCAGGACCCAGACATCCCACGACGTGATTTTGTCCGCAACATGGCTCCCCAGAGGTCTGGACCACTCCCTGGCGAACGGCTTGACCCCGAAGGGTGTTTTCGTTGATGGCCCCGGGGGTCCGAAAACTGCAAGACCACTGCGCAGGAGTACGTGAAACTTTGCGCCGCCACAGTCAAAACAACCGCGCGAGCAGAGCCGTCGCGAAAGCGGCGCGACGGTCGCGAAAACCGCCAGGACGCCTCAGGGTCCCGAGGACTGCGAAGCATGGCCCGTTGCGGCCGGGCCGCGGCGCGAGGTGGGCCAGGGCCCCTGCTCGCCGCCGGCCCTTCTCGCCTCCCTGCCCCCCCGCCCCGCCCTCCTCCTCCTCCTCCTCCTCCTCCTCCTCCTCCTCCTCCTCCGTGCGCCTGCGAAGGTGCCCCTCGGCACTCCATCCGAAGCAGGCTCTGCAAAGCATGTCCGGCTGATATGCACCAAAGGAGGAGGAGAAGGAGGAGGAGGAGGAGGAGGAGGAGGAGGGCAACGCTTCGGGGGTTGCTAAAGGTGCCCATGGCCCAAGGTGCACCCAGCCTCTCGCTCCGTTCTGGAGCCCCCGGGGCCTTCTGGGCCTCGTGAGGGGTTCTCTGGAAGCTGTGGGGGGCTCCTGTGAAGTCCTGGGGGCACCTTGGGCCAGAGGCACTCCTAGCAGCACACAAGTGATAGGAGGGGGAATCAGGCATGAGAGGGGGGTACGCATCGACCCCCCGCAGCGCCCCTGGCGCGCTCCGCGCGCCTGGGATGGGCCGAGCCGCTCCAAGATCTCCGAGCCGCTCCAAGATCTCCGAGCCGATGCTTATGCTGTGTTTTGCCCCTCGAGCGTGCGGTGCGGGTCGGGGCCCTGAACTCATCGCCGGGGCGCGGGGCCTCCAAACATCTCTCGGGAGGAAAGGCTGAGCCCCCGGCAGGAGTCCCGGCCTCTGGGGGGGGAGCCACGTGGTGAGCACAAACGCGTCGGGCTCCTCCTCTTCCTCCTCCTCCTCGTCCTCCTCCTACTCCTCCTTGGAGTTCGTCGATCTTGGGATTATGGACAAAGCTACTAAGTTCCGGGTGCTTTCGAAGTGTCGGGCGCTGGACAGTGCCCTTTATGCGCTCGAGGAGCTCACCGCGGGACTTCTGGACGATGATTTTATTCCTGGGCGAACGGTTTCTGTTTGGTAGAGGCACTCCATGATTTGAAGCACAAATGCCGACGCCGCCGACGTTTTCAATGCTGGTATCAGGCGTGACTGTAGGCACCTCCAGGGCCGTGTTCACCGTCACTTGCGGGGTTTAAGGCCTGACATCGCGCCACTTATCCACTTGCAGACGCGTGTGGGCAGATGGCTGACTGAAGTCTCTATCCCAGTGATGTTGGCATTACGTTCACGGCTTCGGGCAGTCGAAAAGGCGTCAGGCACCCACCTCACCACGGGCATTACTCGGGTCTTGTCCAGGGGAGTTTGCACACCGGCCAGGTTTCGTAATGTTGATCGGGGGTGCTGCTTCAAATGTGGGGGTTCGGACGACATGATTCACTATAAGTGTTGCCCCGTGTTGAAGGCCCTTGTTCTTAGGCGGCTCCCAGGCGTTTCTAACCTTCCAGGTCGTTGGCGGGAGCAGGTCACGAGCGACGAGGGGTGGTTCCCGATGCTGTCGCTACTTTGGGCCCTGCTGGGGGCGAGATCGTGATCTGGCCAGTGCCGTGATCCTGGATGCCTTCCTGAAGACCCACGCCCACCATCGTCTGAACACCCGTGTCTGTCCCGAGGCCCTCTTCCATGCTCGGCTTCGGCTATTTGTACGTCGCTACAAGAAGGTTGCTAAAGTATTCCGTGGAGTGAGACCCACTCCGCCTCAACGAATGAGTCGGCCTGACGGTGCGTGAATGCTCCCCCCTTGCTTCCCCTGCCTCCCCCCTCTTTGCCTCTGCTGTTGCCTTTCTCTCTCTCGCGGGGCGGGTCTGTGGTGCTGGGTCCTTGTGTGCTGCTCCCTTCCCCCCTGCTCCCTGCGTGCTGCTGGTGTCCTTGTGTCCCCCCCCTGTGTGTGTGTGTGTCCCCTGCCTGCTCCGCTGTGATGTTGCTGCTGGTTGCCTCGTGGTGTTGGCTTGGGTTGGGGCCTTCGCCTTTCGCGGTCGAGGGTCGAGGGAGCGCGGCGACGGCGCGCGCGCGCGGCCGCCCCCACCCGCCGCCGCCTGCACGCCGCCTCTTGCCTGGAGTACCCTCCGCCAGCTCTCTGAGAGAGCCGCCGCAGCCGGTGCTCGCCTGCCTGCCTGCCCGTCCCAGAGCGCCTGGGTCCTGGGCTTGCACAGGTGAGACGGACCCGCAAGTTGTCCAAGTCTCTGTGGGGCATGGACCCCGCTTGTCGGGCGTAGGCAGTCCTCCCCCTGTGCCCTGCGCCCCCCCCCCCCCCCCCCTCCGGTCGGGACCTCGCGCCCCTTCCGTCGGGGGGCGGGGTTGGTCGCCCTCGCCCGCGCGCGAGGTACCACGGCGACCTCGGCCTGCGGTTCGAGGGAGTGATGTTGCCGAAGGGTCTCAGCCAGTACCCTTTCCCCCCCCCCCCCCCCTTTCCTCCATCGCTGCTCTGCTGCTGCTGCTGCCCCCCCCCTCCTGCACGGGCCTCACCTTTGGCAGGCTTGGCCTGCCGCGGCGTGGCCCTCACAGATCACGGACCATGGATGTGGATTACTGGTGAGCGTCCTGCGGTGGAGAAGAAATATCCTCCTCCTCCCCCTCCTCCTCCTCCACCTCCTCCTCATCCCCCTTTTCCCCCCTCTCCTCCCCCCCTCCTCCCCCCCCTCCTCCGCTCTCCTCCTCCTCTCCTCCTCCTCCCCGTCCCTCCTCCTCCTCCTCCTCCTCCTCCTCCTCCTCCTCTCTTCCTCCTCCTCCTCCGCATCTTCTTCCACCTGCGTCGCCTCGTCAGCCACGCGCGAGGGGGTAGAGGGAGAGGCGAAGGCTTTGTAGAAGGGCCCCTCTTTACCGGGCGGCCAAGAGGGGGGTGAACACTGGGGGGGGGGGGGGGGGGGTATCATGGCGGGGGCCATGAGACTTCCCCAGATTTCATGACGCCTATTTTTTGTTTCAATTCGTCCCAGGCCCCCCCCCCCCGTGGGCCGCGCGCGCGCCGCCGGCCGAGTTGCGCCCCCCCTTGGGGGACGCCCCCTCTTGGCCGCCCCCGATTCTTAGGAGGCGCAGGCCTTGTCCATGGATGCAGGACTTGCGCCGTATGAGAAACAGGTTCTGAAGAAGCCTTCGCCCCTCCCTCCTTAGGACATGCATGGGATGCCCGAGGACACCCATAGGAATCCTCAGGGTGTCCACGGGATTCCTTTTGGGATCCATAGGCCTCTTGACGACATCCATTGGGTTTCCCCAGGAAGTGTGTAGGTATCCGATGATAATCCATAGGTTTCCTTTGGGCATCCACTAGAATCACTTAGGACATGCACACGATCCCCCAGGACACGCGCAGGGATCCTTAGGATGCATCGGATGTCCTAATGAGGCTGCGCGCGCCGACAATTTTGGGGCCAGTTTTCCACCCCCTCCTCTTCCTCCTTTTCTTCGTCCCCCGCCTCCTTCTCCTCCTCCCTCCTCCCCCTCCTCCCCCCCCTCTTCCCCCCTCCTCCCCCTCCTCCCCTTCCTCCTCCTCCTCCTCCTCCCCCTCCTCCTCCTCCTCTTCCTCCTCCTCCTCCTCCTCCTCCTCGTCCCGCCCCTCTTCCTCCTCCTCCCGGAGGATTCCTCCCCCTCCTTCTCGTCGTCCTCCTCGTCATCCTCCTCCTCCGCCCCCCTCCTCAACCTCCTCCTCATCCTCCCCCTCCTCCTCGTCCTCCTCCTCCTTTTCCTTCTCCTCCTCCTTTTCCTCCTCCTCATCCTCCTCTTCGCCAGTGCCCTTACGCCATGATTTCTGTCACGGCGCGGGGAGGTTCGTCTCTCGGGTCATGGTTCGGTCTCCGGCGGCATGTTCGGGACGATTTGGGCCCCCTTGGGACGCTCTCGGCGAGGTGCAGCTTCAGGAAAACATCGGGCAACCCACGAACATGGTTCGAAGCATCGCGGTGATTGATCCACGCGAGACGCGATGAGGTGATGGGGTGCGTAAAGAGCGGCGACAGATGCGGTTCGCGATTCGATGTGCGGTGAGGCTCGAGGCGTGGTTGGTTCTCACCACGCCTTCGGCGTACTGCAGTACCAGACTGCGGTGATTGCAAGCAGTTCTTGCAGAACGTGCGAAAAGCACAATAAGATCGTCGCGTTTCGATCCTGAGCCATTTTTCCCCGTGGCAATATATTTGATTTGCGATTCGATATGCGGTCGACGCCGCGCTATGTCAGCGTGCTGTTTTCGGGGCAGCCGGGCCTGGCAGCGGGGCGGCGGGGTCAGGAGATCCACTACCAGCGGCACTTATACGCGATCGCCAGTGGACCCATCGCCAGGATGGGGACTTTGAATTCTGGGAGGGGTAGAGGCAGGAGGTGTGGAGGTGGGGTAGTCGCAATTAGGATCATTTGGAATTCGGGCGAGGAGGAGGAGGCGAGGCAGAGAAGGGAAGCAGGAGGGGTGCAGAAAGTGGGGGAATGGGAGGCGCATGGGGAGGAGGAGGAGGAGGAGGAGCAGCAGCAGGAGGAAGACCAAGAGGAGGGTTGAAGTTGAAGTAGGGGCAGGGAGAAGAGGAGCGGGACGAAGAACATGAGGACGAGGATGGGGAGAATCAGGAATTGGAGGAGGCGAATACAGGAGGCGTGGCAGGGTGCGATCGTGCCTTGGCCCCAGAGGATGGGTCTGCGCAACTACACCGCCCTGCACCTGCGCCGCAACGACTTTCAATACCAGCAGGCCAATGGTGTAGGAGTTGGGTGAAGATGAGGAGGAGGAGGAGGAGGAGGAGGAGGAGGAGGAATAGGAGGAGGATGAGGAGGAAGAGGAGGACGAGGAGGAGAAAGGGGCGACATGTGTATGTGTATGTATGTATACGCATCTATACACATATATACATACGTATGCATATACATATGTGTGTATACACATGTGTATTTATATGTATGCATATCTATGCATAAATCAATATATTTATACACATGTATACACATGTGTGTATGTATATTTATTTTTATATATATATATATATATATATATATATATCATGTCATATATTTGCATCCTTTCTTATGTGTATTAATTTGGACCCTGCGGAATCCCTGCCCCTCCCCCCGAAACGGGACCCCATGAAACCGTGGCCCCGGGGGGCCCCCTGGACGCCTCTGCAAGATGTCTCCCAAGCTTTCCGGAGCTCCTGGAAGCCCTTGCTAGGCCTAGGCAACGGGCCCAAGTCGGTCAGGAGACCGGCCGAACGGCCCCCCGAGGGCCCAGAGAAGCCACAGACAACCACCAAACGCCCGAAGACGACCCAAAGAAGGCCACCAAGAGGTTTTCTAAGAGCAGACAAACATTTTCCATGATTTTGGGAATGCTCTGTTCTTCAGTCTTAGGGCGTCCGAGACCGCCCAGGAGCCCGAAAGGGCTTCCAGGCAATCCAAGAGAGCCCCAAGGCGGCACAACAGGATTCCAATATGGCCCGAACAAAGCCCCATGACGGCCCAAGGTGGCCCCAAGACGCCCCCGAAGCATTCCAAATCGTGACCTGGTCGTTCAGGGAGACCGCGATTGGAAGCAGGGTGGCCCGAGAAGCCCCCAGGTTCGGATGCAACTCCTGGGAGGTCAAATTATGATTTTGAGTTGGTCCGACATCCAGCTTAATCCGCTTTAGTCCCGCTTAATCCGGCGCAATCCCGCTTAATCCCGTTTAATCCGGCTTAGTCCCGTTTAATCCGAGGCCCACTCCTGCGTAACGGCCCCCCAATGGGGCTCAATTTTTCTTAATTTTTCCGACGAAGCCTTCCCAGTAGTTGCCTCCTAACCCAGAGGCCCCCAGAAAGCGCCCAGGAGGCCTCCAGAAGGCCCCAAGAAGCCCTCCAACACTTTCGCGAGGCCCCCGAGAGGCTCTTCAGAGCTGAGAAAGACTGGGAAGAACTCGCAGTGTAGGGCGACAGTGAGGAAGAGGAAGAGGAAACATGAGGGAAGGATAACGCATGACATTATCATAACGGCGATGTCGGAAAAGGCAGAACCCGGAGTTATCGCCAGATGCTCTGCTTTACTTTCCTGCCTGTCCGCCTGCATGCAAAATTTCACGCCTGTCCGCCTGCACGCAGTCTTACAAAATGTGTAGCGCCCCGCAGTTGCGGATAAGAGTGACGGGGCGGCGGAGACGTCGACTCTCAAGAAAGGCGCGGTAAGCTTTTATTCCCCACGTCCTAAGTGGGTTTTTGTTTTCTCTGCACACCCTCCGCGCAGGATCTCTCCTCCTCCTCCTCCCTCTCCTCTGCTCCTCTTTGCTTCCTCCTCCGCATCATCATCACCATCACCATCACTCCCCACTCATCATCATCATCACCATCAGCATCACCATCACCATCCCACGATCACTCACCATCATCGGAATCGAACGATCATCATCATCATCATCATCATCATCATCATCATCATCATCATCATCATCATCATCATCATCATCATCACTACTCGCTGACTTGAGGCCTGAATAAGGAGGAAGTATCAGGCGGGAACCTCGTCTGTGAGTGAATTGTGAGGAAGTCTCAGGCGGGAGCCCCCTCCCTATGGGGCCCGCACTTCATGTTCGAATCCGAACGGGTCATCCGCAACGTGCAACTGTCGTCACTTTTGGGCTCTTGAGACTTGAATATGGAGGAAGTCTCGAGCGGGAGCCTCGTCTGTGAGTGAATTGCGGAGAAGTCTCCGGCGGGAGCCCCCTCCTTGTGGGGCCCGCACTTCATGTTCGAATCCGAGCGGGTCATCCGCAACGTGCAACTGTCGTCACTTCTGGGCTCTTGAGGCTTGAATATGGAGGGAGTATCAGGCGGGAGCCTCGTCTGTGAGTGAATTGTGAGGAAGTCTCGGGCGGCGGCCCCCTCCCTATGGAGCCCGCACTTCATGTTCGAATCCGAACGGGTCATCCGCAACGTGCAACTGTCGTCTTTTTTGGGCTCTTGAGATTTGAAGATGGAGGAAGTCTCGAGCGGGAGCCTCGTCTGGGAGTGAATTGTGAGGACGTCTCAGGCGGGAGTCCCCTCCCTATGAGGCCCGAACTTCATTTTGAATCCGAGCGGGTCATCCGCAACGTGCAACTGTCGTCACTTTTGGGCTCTTTGGACCTGGATACGGAGGAAGTCTCGAGCGGGAGCCTCGTCTGTGAGTGAATTGCGAGGAAGTCTTAGGCGGGAGCTTCCTCCCTATGGGGCCCGCGCTTCATGTTTGAATCCGAGCGGGTCATCCGAAACGTGTAACTGTCGTCACTTTTGAGCTCTTGAGGCGTGAATATGGAAGAAGTCTCAGGCGGGAGCTTCGTTTGTGAGTGAATTGTGAGGAAGTCTCAGGCGGGAGCCCCCTCCCTGTGGGGCCCGCGCTTCATGTTCGAATCCGAGCGGGTCATCCGCAACGTGCAACTGTCGTCACTTTTGGGCTCTTGAGACCTGAATATGGAGGATTTCTCCAGCGGGAGCTTCGTCTGTGAGTGAAGTGTGAGGAAGTCTCGGGCGGCGGCCCCCTCCCTATGGAGCCCGCACTTCATGTTCGAATCCGAGCGGGTCATCCGCAAAGTGCAACTGTCGTCACTTTTGGGCTCTTGAGGCTTGAATATGGAGGAAGTATCAGGCGGGAGCCTCGTCTGTGAGTGAATTGTGAGGAAGTCTCAGGCGGGAGCCCCCTCCCTATGGGGCCCGCGGTTCATGTTCGAATCCGAGCGGGTTATCCGCAACGTGCATCTGTCGTCACTTTTGGGCTCTTGAAATTCGAATATAGAGGAAGTCTCGGGCGGGAGCCTCGTCTGTGAGTGAATTGTGAGGAAGTCTCAGGCGGGAACCCCCTCCCTATGGAGCCCGCGCTTCATATTTGAATCCGAGCGGGTCATCCGCAACGTGCAAAGGTCGTCACTTTTGGGCTCTTGACATCTGAAAATGGAGGAAGTCTCGAGCGGGAGCTGCGTCTGTGAGTGAATTGTGAGGAAGTCTCAGGCGGGAGCTTCCTCCCTATGGGGCCCGCACTTCATGTTCGAATCCGAGCGGGTCATCCGAAACGTGTAACTGTCGTCACTTTTGAGCTCTTGAGGCGTGAATATGGAAGAAGTCTCAGGCGGGAGCTTCGTTTGTGAGTGAATTGTGAGGAAGTCTCAGGCGGGAGCCCCCTCCCTATGGGGCCCGCACTTCATGTTCGCATCCGAGCGGGTCATCCGCAACGTGCAACTGTCGTCACTTTTGGGCTCTTGCGACTTGAATATGGAGGAAGTCTCGAGCGGGAACCTCGTCTGTGAGTGAATTGCGAGGAAGTCTCAGGCGGGAGCCCCGTCCCTATGGGGCCCGCAGATCATGTTATTAATCCGAGCGGGCCATCGGAAATTTTTAACTGTCGTCACTTTTGGGCTCCCGAGGCCAGAATATGGGAGAAGTATCAGGCGGGAGCCTCGTTTGTGAGTGAATCGCGAGGAAGTCTCAGGGGGGAGCCCCCTCTCTATGGGGCCCGCAGGTCACGTTTCGAATCCGAGCGGGTCATCGGAAACCTGTAATTGTCGTCACTTTTGGGCTCCCGAGGCTTGAAAATTGGAGGAAGTCTCAGGCGGGAGCCTCGTCTGTGAGTGAATTGCGAGGAAGTCTCAGGCGGGAGCCCCCTCCCTATGGGGCACGCACTTCATGTTCGAACCCGAGCGCGTCATCCGAGCGAGCTTTTTGGGTTCCTCTTCGCGCCGATGGCGCTGCCGACGACGGCGAGGCCGAAGCGCGGGCGAGGAGCTTGCTCATGTTCAGGCCCAGCGAGCAGGAGCGCACGTGGCAAAGCTCGGGGGCGCACGTTGTGCGCCGCTCGGGATTCACACTGACGCACGCGTCCTACCTGACCTCCACGCTGTCGCAGGGCCAGACGCTGCGCAAGGGCGTCACCATCGAATGCGCCAGGGATGAGGACGCTGACCGCACGGGCATGTCGGACGATATGTGGTGGCTGCACCTCTACGTCCTGTTCTCCCGCGCCGCGTGCATGCGGAACATGCTGATCCTGCGGCCGCCCGCGCGAGAGTTCCTGGAGCGCGGGCCGCCAGCGCCCCTGCGGAAGGCGCTCGAGGAGTTCGACAAGAGAGCGGTGGACTCCAGGGCTGAGGCGGAGCAACTCGCGGCAGAGCTGGGCTTCATGCTGCCCCCCGCCTGAGCGCCGCGGCGCGCGCCTGGAGGCCCGCGGGGTTGTCCCAACGGCTAGCTCCCACGCCCCTGCGGCCTGCGAGGTTGTCTCAACGGCCCAGCCCGAAGGTTTGTCCCGACGGCTTCGCGATCTAGCCGTCGGCAGACGCGCGCGCGCTGGCCGAGGCGGCGACGGCGCTGAGGAAAATGGATTTGCTTGCCCCGACGAGGGGGAAGGGGAGGTGCGCATGGAGAAAAGGCAGGGGGATGAGGAGGGAAGGGGCATGGGGGAGGCCGACGACGAGGATGAGGTGGCGCGAGAGGAGGAGGAGGACGAGGAGGAGGAGGAGGAGGAGGAGAAAGAGGAGGAGGAAGGGAAATAGCTGGGGGAAGAGAGGGCAGTGCAGGGGGCGAGAGGAGAGGGTGTCCGCCAGGGGGGGAGGAAAGGGCAAAGGGTAAGCTAAACAGATTCTCGTGTGGGGTCCTAACATTATTTTACGTAGCCCGCCGCAGGCGCCGAATTTTTCGTTAAAGCAATGTGAGTGGGCGGCGTTTGGGTCGCGGGCCTTGTCGCGGGTGGGTGGGTCGCGGGTA